GAGCTGTATATTCGTATCCTCCAGGACGAGTTATTGAATACTGTGGATTGGTACAACATTGATCCAGAGCAATTTATCTTCCAACAAGACAATGATTCTAAGCACACGGCTAAGAGAGTCACAACCTACCTTGCCTCTATTGGATTGACAAGAGCGTCAGGTAGAATACTGACATGGCCTGCCAATTCACCAGACCTAAACCCTATTGAGCATTTGTGGGATCATTTAAAAAAAAAAATTCGCGAACATGGGACCATTCCAGAAGGCATGCTGGAACTCTGGGAAAGAGTGAGCCAGATATGGGAGGAGGAGACACCGAAGGAGGTCTGCCGCAATCTGATAAGAAGTATGCCTGAGCGGATGTTAGCAGTCATAAGGACGAAAGGGGGCAATACGAAGTTTTGATAGGTGAAAAAAAACGATGGTTAAAAAATTGTCCAAATGAGAGGAAAATTTCAAAGTAGTGAAAAGCTATCAGAAACAAGCAGGAGCGCTAATAGGTTTTGAGCAAATAAAGTATGTCTTCCAGGTTGCTCCCATCTAGGATCCAAGGGCACAAGCGCTGCTCACTGTTGAACACTTATAGTTTTCCTTTGGAAGAATGAAACACTTGGACAATATTGGAAGCCACTGTATGAGCTGGTTGGCTCTGACGGTGGCCTCAACTGCAGACTTGAGTGTACCTCGTTTCATGTACACCTTAAGATACTGCATGATACCTCTAGGTACTTTCCTTGGTCGACCGCCTTTATTGACTGGCATGTACTCCTTATTATGTGCATAGATCCTGGTGGCCGTCGCTATTGATATACCCACACTAGCAGCAGTTTCTCTAGTAGACATGCCTCCCATCATTAACCTCCTGGCTTCGTTGACTTTCCTTTGTGGAGTGGGTCTCATATTCTGTGAAGGTATAGTTAAGAGAGAGTGAAGCAAGTGTTCATAAAGGAAAGAGAGAAAAGTCCTTTTTTTACTGGCATTAAATGACGTCCAAAAGTTGTCATGGGCAACATTTTAGACCACATGTGAAACTGATTCAATGACCTGAATGAACAAAAATGCAAACGTGTTATACAATACTGACTCAAACCTTTGAGGAGGGCTCAACTATCACGCGCACCCCAGGCGCCAAGACGCCAAGCCCAAGTGCCAAGACACCAAGCCCCAACCCTATCAATTATCAGTATAAATAGTCCACTACGTTATAGCCAAATAAAGTATCCTTTGACCTTCGATTCCACCTAAGATCACCTTTGATTGTTACTATTTACAAAAAAAGTCATTAGCTATTCAAATGAGACAAGCTAATGTCACAACGCATCACTATGACGTAGAAGAAGACGGGAGCTTTATTAAACCAAAGTATGAGTGGTGTATGCATATACGGTTTCTAGGAATGAAAAAAAGAAATGCACATGGGAATGAATTATTGAATCAGTTTTGCATGATAGTGTATAACGCTCATACTTCAAATTAATAAAGCTCCCGTCTTCTACGTCATAGTTATGTGTAGTGACATTGTCTTGTCTCATTTAGAAAACTAATGACTTTTTTTTACAAGTAGGTCGCTCATACAGTTTTGGAGGTGCCATTTGGAGATCAATGCCTATGAGAGGTTTTCGCTCGGAGCAAACGCGTCTCACCTGCTACCTAGACGTCTTCAATAAATCATTCCCTAACCGTGTACATTGAAGGCTGTTTTGTGAAGATGTCATCGCCGCTGTCCTTAGTACCTCCGGCGGCATTAGCTGTGCAAGGCAATGTATCCACAGAACGCTGCTTGTTTTACCACTGATGTTATGACCCTGTTTATCAAAAAAAAAAAAAAAAAAAAAAAGTAATGTATTTGGCAGCCCAGCTGCCACCCAAGAGTGCGAAGTTAAGTGGCAGCCCCCAGAAGTAGGCTGCCAAATAGAGGCAAAAATGGATGAAGTTATTTGCACGGGCCCGTACACCCCTTATTTGTACGGCCCCCGTGCAAATAAATTTTTACTTATAAAAAAAATTATTTGCACTGCCCCGTATACACTCTATTTACACTGCTCCCCCCGTACAAATAAAAAAAAGTTATTTGCACGGGGGGTCTTTTTTTTATTTGCACGGGGTCTCTTTTTCATCTACAAGCAGCAACGTGTATCCTACAGACTACATGATTCTGGCTTTATATAAATAAGTGGAGGTGAGTCTAGAGTAGAGAGGGGTCTGGAATTATTACTGGTGGAAGTTGCAGCGCCGTGGGAGCTGCCAAACAGCTCATTTGTGACATACAAAAATACTACCATTAGACCCATATAGCGTATACGATGATTTAAATTACCACTCACGTGGGGCAGACAAGAACCCTCTCTTTGTCCTCCTTCTTAGTTGGTGCAATGTTTTAACCTAATTGATATAACTTACTATGTAATATGGAGCTAAAGTTCAATAAATTTACCCTTTTATTAATGAGGCAATGTGGATAATCACTGAAGTTTTTGGGCAGTACAGGCTGAGGGAAAACGGCAAGAAATAAGATTGAAGACAGTGCTTCTCTTCATTACCATTTCAAGTGATTGTACAATATGAAGCTGGTCCTTTAGACGCAGTGAGCATCTACATGTGCTGCTGAGTATGCAATACTGCGTGCTAAAGACGAACCAAGGTAAGTTGGCTATGATAATAAACTTGGAATGTAATGAGACAAAACTAAGGATTGTTGCGATTAGCAGTCATTTATATGGGTTTTTACTATAGCTAAGGTTTTTACCCTTTTTATTTAACGAAGATCCCTGGATCATAATAAAGACATCTTTTTTTCGTTCTCGCTAATTATTATGACCCTGGCATATTTCAATAACAGAAAAGAATATTTATGTCTCTTTTCTATCACTATTAGTCACGGTTACGCTATTAAAGTATTTTAGCCACTTAGATATAGAGATATAGGTGATTGTGGCACGATCGGCTTTGAGTGCGAACTGTCACCAACTATCAAAAGACAAGTAATATCGGGTAAGAGGATAGATATTCCACAAAATAAGCTGAGGTCTACCCATTGTATTTTGATGAATTTGATAAACAAAATAGTACCGAGGGCGCTTGAGTTCTTAATAAAGGACGACAGAGATAAGGACATCTAAGAGGAAAGAAAGAGACTAGTAACATGGCGCGCTATGCATCATAGCAATGAGTATGGTAGTATGATTGGTTGTACATCTACCGACACAAACTACACGTTAGAGATTCCTAATAACTGAATTCATCGTTGTGTGCTTAATAGTGTACGGAAATACCTAAGATGTATGCACGCGTTAAATGAAAGAAAGCATCGGGGAACCATCCACAATCTATAACAATGCAACCAACAAAAGTGCAAAGTAAAGCTGCATAGTATATTTCAACTATAGATAAATCATTTGTAATTCTGTATTTAGTCCCAGTCGCATAAAGAATGCCAACATCTACTCTGAGCTACATACGAACTTGATAAGATATTCTGGTCAGTATTTGATGCTTAGGCAGCGGCTCTAGATCTAAGCCTGTGTCATGGAAGGCTTCCTGGTTATGGTGTTTAGGGCTAAAATAAAGACCCCGTACAAATAAAAAAAAAGACCCCCGTGCAAATAATTTTTTTTTATTTGCACGGGGGGAGCGGTGTAAATAAGGTGTGTACGGGGCAGTGCAAATAGATTTTTTAAATATTTGTACGGCCCCCGTGCAAATAAGAGGTGTACGGGCCCGTGCAAATATCTTTTTTCGGCAAAAATTACTATATTTGGTAAGGGTTGCCAAATAGATTAATCCTACCAAAAACTCGTTGAAACAAAATGGTGAAGAGAGTGGGATTCGAACCCACGCCTACGAATAGACCGCGGCCTTAACGCGGCGCCTTAGACCAACTCGGCCATCTCTCCATTAAGATCTTGTGTGAAAAAATCACTGTCTTAAGAACCGGGGGGTTATACTGAGATGCCCTTAAAAACCGCAACGAGACGCAAATACATAGAACACACTGAAGTGTTGTACCAAGATAAAGGTAAGGAACACTTCAGGGACGGAGAGTCCACTATTTATTATAGCGGGGAGGATCGGGTGGCTGAGCTCACGTCCAGGCAGGACGGGGTGGGTTTGAGGGTACCACTATAGGTATACCTCTGGTCCTACCTACCATGACGTCACTTGTTATAGGACGTGAGCTTAAGTTGCCTCGATTTAGGACATGTGTCGTAGAGCATCTACTAGTGATCTCTGGAAACTAGTAGGTAATAATGAAAAATGAAGAATTGGGCAAGAGCCTCGTGGTTTTGGGATACGATAGTGATCCTAAGTAATGCTTTGAATGATTTTGAGGATGCTGCAAAAGGGCATCGATAATAAGAAGAGAGATCTTTAATAACTGCTAATTTTCTGAGAATTCATAATGAGAATAATGAAGATAAACTCACCTGCAAAAGGGCATCGATAATAAGAAGAGAGATGCCGTTTTTGCAGTGAAGGAAAAAGCTACTTAAATACTATTTAAAAATGGTAGAAAATAGGATGATAGGAAATAAATAAATTGAAAGGAAATACATATTTAGGTAAATGAATAGGCGTCATTTACGACACTTGTGTCCTAAATCGAGGCAAGTTAAGCTCACGTCCTATAACAAGTGACGTCATGGTAGGTAGGACCAGAGGTATACCTATAGTGGTACCCTCAAACCCACCCCGTCCTGCCTGGACGTGAGCTCAGCCACCCGATCCTCCCCGCTATAATAAATAGTGGACTCTCCGTCCCTGAAGTGTTCCTTACCTTTATCTTGGTACAACACTTCAGTGTGTTCTATGTATTTGCGTCTCGTTGCGGTTTTTAAGGGCATCTCAGTATAACCCCCCGGTTCTTAAGACAGTGATTTTTTCATTTGAAGTGGAAAGATCTGTTAATGATACCAAAGATTGACAGAAAATGAACAAAATGATAATAAAAAGCTGGACGAAGTGCTAAAAGATGATTTCATAAATGGACAATGCGCGCAAAAAACTCTTCTCCGTACACCATCGGATACGCTACATTTACACATTCCCTCTCTATACACACCCCTTCCACACCCCCTGTTAGCGCACAAGAGTGCCAACGGCATCACTCATCATGGAACCTGCATTAGGAAAAAATCAGCAACATGATCCACCCAATTTGGACAGAAATGTCCCTCATTCGAAAAGAGCTCGCATTCCAAATAGCGGAATCGGATCTCAAAGACAGCCCAACAACCAAGAAGTCGGTCCCGCAAGCGGCATAGAGGCGAGCGGGAGCTGCGTTGACGAGGGAACGGGCTCTAAGAGCCGTCCTTCGTATAACCGCAGCCTGGGTGCAAACGGCTTGCGTGCAGCTACACAAGAACAGGACGCAATGGACGAAGACGATGACGCAATGGCCACTGTGGGAGTCACAGAATGGCAGGAAGTGAGACGCACCAAGGATAGGCTGAAGGCGACCGGCGTCTTCCTCGAGGACCTTTATGGAACAACGGTTGCCGAAAAAAAGAAAGACCTGGAAACAGTCTTGTTGGATGCTGCCATCTATTGCACAGATGCAAAAGTCAAGGTAGTGTTCTATAGTGATTTCGCTTGCAACAGAAGGACCACACAAGGTCAAAGTCAATGGATATACTGCTTTCCGTGTTGCTGTTGAGGATCAACCATCCCTGACAGCGCTCCTGGAAATGACTGCTACACACAAAGATGAAGACGGAAATGAACACGAAGTCCCATTGTTTTTTGAAATGAATACCGACACCCGTGAACGTGAACTGGAACGCACAGTGGAGGTTTATGGTATTGCTCCTAGGACTCCGGAATTCCTTATCAAGTCAGCAATGCTGCAGTTCGGTACTATTGAAAAGATTGCAACCCGCCCATGCTCCAAGGGAGTCAAGATCACCGCAGCAGTAGTTTATAACAATGTTGAGGACGTCACAAAATTCAAATTGGCCAACCGGGAGCACGTCTTCATTGGAAAAGAACTCGCGCGCATCCGCAAAATCGGCAATGAACGAGTCGAGTGGACATTGACACACGTCGCAAAAATCTCAGGTCTCCCTTTTGGAACGACAGACAAGGACTTGGAGCCTCTCCTTGGAGAAAAGCAAGCGAATTTCGTCAAAGTGCCACGCTATTTTTCAAAAGACGGGAAGAAATGGCAATATCAATGCAAAAGTCAAGGTAGTGTTCTAGGGGGATCTAAGGGTGCAATAAAGGTATCTTTATTCAGG